GCAGAAAAAAATGCTTGGGGTAATATATTGATTGAGAGTCCACTTTGATTTGTAATGCTGTGGGAAACAGCACAGAGTAAGAATTATTTAACATAATATTTATTAAAGAACATGTTACTTAAAGCTGCATTAGGTAACGTTTACAAAAATAACTTTTTTGTCATATTTGCTGAAACTTTCACTATATCCTGAAGTACATGAGACAGATAATCTGTAAAAAAAAAAAATCTGATTCCTCTGACTCCTCCTAGTGCTCCTAATGGCATTTTCAATCGTCGAGAGGGCCTGAAAAAAAACATCCAATCAGAGCTGAGAAAGATAGAAACCCACTTTGGATTTGTGGCTTGAAGATTGAAGTTGATTGTTGAGTCTCATTCCTAGGTCATCAACTAAAGACACTGGGAATAAGAATCAACAATCAACATTTTTTCTTAGCTGTGATTGGTTGTTTTCATTCAGACAGGGTAGATTCTTGCAAATGCCATTAGAGACACTAGGACAAGCCACAGGAAACAAATTATGTGTCTCATGTATATGACATATACAATATGACAGACCTTTTTTTATTTTTTATTTTTTTACAAAAGTGACCTACTGCAGCTCTAAATATTCTTTAATATAATAGTTATTTGTTTTTTTTTATTTTGCAGAGTCATATCAGTGCTAAATTGGTGCACAGTCTATATAGAAAAGGTCTATTTTCATTCCAGCTCAAAAAGTGACTGTGAGACTTTTGTTTTCACTACTACTTTTAGGACTGTTATCCTGAAATAACTATTTTATGATAATGACTTTATTTTACTATAATAACTGAAGTAAGTTGTGATCTGGAGATAGCAGCAATTAAGTAAAACAATTAAGCAATTAAACAATTAACAAACAATTAACAAACAATTCTTTTTGTCCTAATTTTATCTATATAATGCTGAGGGTGATGCACTGTTTATAAAATGGTTTTATTTTCATCATTTTCCATGTGTACAATGAAATGTAGATGCATGCACTTTTTTTGCAGACAGTGCATTGCATTATATTGTTTAGCTTAAATTGGTGCAGTGAAATGCATTTTTTTGTGTCTTTAAGTCCATACTGGCTGGGAATCAAAAGGTGGATGATACTTAAAAATAAAATAATTTAATCAGAGCATTGTGTCTCATTTTCACTATCAAGTTCTACTGTCAGTGTCCAATGCTGTAAAAGATACTGTGTCATTTTGTACCCAGTTCTTTCTTATTGTTTGTACAGGCTGATGGCACTTTAACTGCCATCAGCTCCATTTCCATTTCCTAGCCTCCGACTATTAGTATAATTAGTATAAATACAAGAACAGGGCCAAGCATCTCTTAGCAGTACACCTGCTAAGAGATTTAAAGATGTTAGTTGAAGGGTGTAATTTTAGCTGTCATTGCCCTAAATGTCTTCATGAGGCACATTATGGGAGCAAACCTACAGACCTGCAGAGGTGGCACAGGTACACACATTCTTTACTCAAGTAGAAGAATAAAGACTTGTGTAAAAAAAGATTCAACTTCTTTACTCAAGTGAAAGTGAAAAAGTACATGTCTGAAATGTACTCAAAGTATAAAAGTAAAAATTACTCTCTTGGTTTCTCTGAAGGACATTTCTAGCGACTGTTTCTGTGTAAAGTCTGTTTCAACCATCGACATATGAAAGATGTAAGTTGTGTCTCTACTTCATCCCACTTTATATAAAAATGGAGCCAGAATATCCTGGATAGAGCTGCTACAATCTTCTGGTGACATAATTTGGAGCCAGAGTTTCCCGCCCATTCGCCCGGCCGACTCCATCGCGAGCAGGGCTCAGCTGTCAATGTGATGTGAAACCCCCTTTCTATAGCTTTAAATAACAATAATCATTTTGGCTTCACTAGTGCAGAACGGTCATGTCCTTCATGTCCATCATTATATATGTTGATGGTTTAAACTTGTTACATTGTTACATCTTTTATGTCATTTTTGGCATTTTGTGTCTGTCGCGTGATAAGCAGCGGTCTTGATGTTGGGGTCTGCAAGGATGCAAAATAATAATCATAATAACAACAACTAATAATTCCCCCAAAAGCATTCAAACTAAACTAATGAGCCTGTTGTAAGGAGTACAAAGTAAAGATATGTGTGTACAAAGGTAAGGTTAAAGTAAAAAAATGTCAGACAAATAAATACATTACAGACACCTGAAAAAATCGACCTAGGTATTTGTACTGCTACTTCCCAGGTCTGGTGACCCTGGGCCATGCATGCAGATATTCTCTGAACTGATTAAAAACTTGACAAGAGTTTTCCCTTCAAATATGTGCTTTACTGTTAAGCACTTGGTACAGTGGTTTGGATGATCTGAAGATTATTATTAATAGTCCTTTCATTTTGGTGGACAGAATGAACAGATTAGATCTACATCATACCACTAGATGGAGCTCAGTTCATACAGTTTATACTTCCTGCCCATGAGCAGAAAAACCTTGATGATACATCAACTATGTTGTTGATGTATTATCTTGATTGATTGTATTGTCTTTTGTGAAAATTTTACTTTTTTGTTTTTGCAGAAAAAACATATCAGATAGACATTATTGTTTTACAGCATATTATTTGTATGTGTCTTAATACATGTCTTTAAATAAATACGAGGCTATGAACTCTATACAACATTTATTTTTCTAGTACCTAACAAACAACAAAACAACTTCTTCACACATTGTCTGGAATTTCTAATAGCAAGAAGCTGGAATTTATCCACAAATTAATTTTTTTAATCACAGACACACACAACATAGTCTTCTAACTGCGACATCATGGTGGTATACTTATTTCATTTATTATAAGAACATTCAATTTATTCTTAGTTTGTATCAAATAAAATAACAAAATGTACATTTTATTTTTGTGTCATCTATCATCTTAGTTCAGTTTAATCCAAATAATGAATATTTTATAATTCCCATTTACAGACTGTGTACATTTTGAGGTTAATTTAAGAACATCAGCCCAGCCTAATCTCACAGTTTCCAGCTGCCCTGCACTGCTCTGTCCTCACCACTGTCTGATAGGAACTCTGTAGGCGTCCATGCAAACAACAGACAAATGTGAATTGAGTCACAGCTCACTGAATAAAAGAACTGCAGAGAGACAGAGGGCAAAAAACAGAGAGAAAGATATGGGAGGGCTTGGGGAAGACAGAGGGTCTATAGCAAGAAGCTGCCAGAGAGGCAGAAGGCTGTGCGTGAGAGAGAACAGGTCAGATGGGGGGGGGGATATAGTACAACACAAAGCTTAATAACACAGTGCTGTCATTGTCAAATGGTTGCAGTGGCCTCTCAGCACAGGAACACCAATAAAATAAAAGAAGAGCAGTGGAGAGATGTGGACTAAACTGCTCATGAGATGTCTAGATTTATGACCTCTGCCAAATCAAATGCACACTGCACTGATATAAGGCACACTTATCTTTAAATGATCATAAAATGATGATCTCACAGGAACGATCATTTCTCTTTAAGTAATGTTATGGAAGAACATAGATGAGAAAATATATCCATTTTGGTTAATTTCTGCAGATTGCATCGTATAACTGTCCTCACTCTACATACATGGCATCCTCTTTTTTTTATAATATATTTTTGGGGCTTTTGCCTTTATTTTGATAGTACAGGGAGAGAAACAGAGGATGACATGCAGCAAAACCATGGGTTCGAATCCATGGCTTCTGCAGCAAGGACTTAGCCTTGGTACATGGGGCGGCAGTTCTACCAGGTGAGCTGGTATTTTTTATTTATTCAAATTCTTTCAAAAAAATTGTGTTGCATTGTGTTGTTTCACATCTTATTAACTTTTTTCCAGCTTGTAATAAGGATGACCAATGACAATTATAATAATAAGATAATTAGAAAATGCATTCTAATTACTTATTATTTAATGGGGATTTATTTTTAATGAATACTCATTAAATAATATTGTATAGGTTCTAGATATGTCTGTGAAGTCTTTAGTCTTTATACAGTGCTGTCATAGCAGTGTGGTGTGACCAGCAGGGGGTGTCTTTGCATTGGTAAGCTCTGGCCCTGAGGACCCTGCTGCGCCCCACTTGCTGTACTCTCTTATATGAACAAAAAGATGACATATGTAATTATCTGTTTAGTTTACTTTGTGTTCTTTATATGTTGTGCTGTTTAATATCACTGGTGCGTTCTGTGATAGTTATTCAGAAAACTCACTGAAAAACTGTAATTATCTGTGTGTGTGTTTGTGTGTGTGTGTTCCTGCCAAGATTTGCCACATTTTAACATTTCAGTTATTTTGCAATGTCTTAGTCAACTTCCACACTAATCAAGCCAAGATGTTCTGTGTAATTGTAAAATAAACACTGGGGGCCGATATGATCTCACCACTCCCATTTTCTCAAGAAACTAAACATTACTTTCTAAATTGTATTGAATTAACTAATTTTACACATCCAGAAATACCCAAATAACCTGTTTCTTCAGGCCTTTAGTGACTAGGTGCCACCGTTTGTGTTTCTGGCTCAGGATGCCCTTCTATATCTTCATAACACTAAAATAGATTAGAATAGGAGTGACATTAATATAGAGTAATAAAGAGTTTTTAAAGAGGGATCAGACATGTACTGAAGTGTAATCGGGTGCCTTTCTTGGCTGAATTATCAACTGCACACCACCAGTGGCCTGAAATGTACCTCAGGTTCCCCTCCTTTGCTTTTTGGAAATTTGATTAAATTCAATCTAAATTTGACACAACATAGCTCATCTGGTAGAGCTAGTGACCTATGTACCTACCAAGGCTGGGTCCTTGCTGAAGCAGCCATGGGTAAGAGTCTGACCTGTGGCCCTTTACTGTATGTCATCCCCCTTCTCTCTCCCCCTTTCCTGTCTTTATTGAAATAAAATAAATAATCAAATAAAGGCAA